TTCAAGAAAAAAGAAAGATCTTACAACACAGAAGTCTATGAAAAAATTATTCCTATGAAAATTTCATTTCTCTTTACTTTAGCTTAACTATTACTTTAAAGTTAGATGCATTTATTCTATTGTTATCGAGAAAAACATAAATTTCACTTTCTAATAAATCTAATCCATTTGAAATAAATTAATAGAATTGGAGTATTTGTCACTGTAATAAATAGACAAACATTATATGAAGAGTCTTGCGGTATTTATATTTTAATTGAAATTAATCGTTATTATGTATCTCTTAAATTATATCTTCGAGATGTATATTAAATTTTTCGGATAAATTATTTAGTATTAAAATTTTTTCTTCCCTTATTCAAATATATTTTTACGCTAAATAAACATTAAAGATACAAATATGAATATGTACAATTAGCATTTTATATAAAATTTAATAATAGCTTGATATTTATTAATAATCGTTAGAAAATTCAAATATTTAATATAATAATTTTTTTACTATAAATATATATGTGTACTTTCATCTTGTATTTACGGTTTATTTATACACATGATCACCTATGTTCAAATTTGATGTATTACTCTAATATCTATAATATTGAACATATTTATTATTTTTTGTAAAATTTAAAAGTATTATATATGCAAAAATAAATAAATAATAAAATTCATTTAGTTATGTATGTATATTACGAATTATTATTAAAAATAAAACTTAACTTAAATATCTTATGGTTCAATATGCTTTTACAATTAAATAAAACAGCGTAAATCAGTCAGCATATAAATTAATCTATATTTGCATTTTTTTTTTCAATAGCTTTATAATAATCTAATGATAATGAAAAAATTAAAAACATTAAATAATATTGATAACAAAAGTGAATTACTTTTACAATTATTATTTTTAAAAAAAAAAAATTTCACATTGGTAGATAAAGATAAATTCAAAATGTAATGTAAAGACTTATAGAAGTGGAGGTATTTTTCTTCTAGAATATTGACTATTTTTTTTATACAAAAAGAAGATTGAGAAGTAAATTTTCTGTGATATTGATGCGAATCATCATTTTATACTTATTCTCACTGGATGTTATTTTTCATTTATGACTCCTAACGCAGTACAAATTAATATCAAATTAAAACATTTATTATAAAAAGATATTTCCCACGATTCTTGTAATCGTAATTTCATTAGTTAAAAGATTTTGAGAAGCGAATGAAATTTATCGAGCAACTAGGTTATATCTTATTTTAGTAAAATAGTTAATCAAATAAATGAGTTAGGACGTATTATCTTCCATTATTTTACTGTAATAACATGCGCAATTATTTATTTATATCGACATTTTAAATTATATTCTTGGGATTACTTAATTATTGTTCATACCTAAATTAATTTATCATTATGTGTTTAGAAAGTTTTCCTTTGATAAAATTAGAAATTTAAATAAAGTTTCTAAATTTACTCTAGAAACTTGGATGAATTAAATTTAAATAGAAAATAGAAAATACGAAAGAAAACAGAAATATTCCTTATTCAGAATTCATATATGTGTGCGTGTGTGTGTGTGTGTGTGTGTGTGTGTGTGTGTGTGTGTGTGTGTGTGTGTGTGTGTGACAAGGCCATCAAATATAATTCAATAAATGTAAAATATACTTTTGCTAAACTTAATTTTCATGATACGATTTATCAATAAATAATCATTAAACAGTATTGTAAAATTATAAGATTTTCTTTATTGACAAAATAATTAAAATTACATAAAATTACGTGCTTATAATATTACCTTTAATTTGAGACTGATTTTAACATTTCATCACCAACTGATAACTAGTTTTGTTTAAGCAAACAAAAGTTTGTTTTTACTTTAAACAAAAAAAAAAGAAAAAAAAATAGATTAGAACAAAATCATAATGAAATATTTACATTTTTTCATAGTATCATATGATTAAAATTTAAACTCTGGTATTATCACATTTACTCAACAGTAAATATTATTTTAATAATAAAACCAATAATCATTATATCTTTATAAAACCAATGAATTCACTTAAAATATACTAAAAGTACTTCTAAGAAATACGAAATAGACAGTCAAAATTTTGATGCAAGTACATCGATGGTGGTAAAATAGATGCTTAAAGAAGAAAATTTTTTTCATACAAACTGTTTTCGCGAGACTAGCACAAGCTGACCTCAATATTCTATCTTGCGCGGGTGCAGTAGAAGCTCCAATTCACTACAACTCGACCCTCAAGAAACAGAAAGACAGAGAGAAAGACGGATTTCTCGATTCACACGTGCCAATTCGTATCATCAGAAATGAACGACCATGAGATAATTGAAGCAGTTTTTCTATAACTTCAACATTCCCAATTTATTTTATGATAAAATCTTACAGTACTACATGTTCAAATTTATAATAGTTCGTAGTTTAAATGAAATTGAAAAGGAGAAAGTCATTTTATAGCTATACCCATTTGTCTTCGGGGTTTAGCATTATCATACGTATATATATATATATATATATATATATAGAGAAGACTTATTACATATTATGCTTGTGCGGAGTACTAAAAATAAATTAATAAAAGCTTGCAAGCGCTGGAGGAATTGAAACGATTCGTGCTCGATGTACGAATGAGATTTTCGAAATTTCCAATACTTGCTTAACTAGTCCGATACATTATACATTAAAATCTATAGTAAATACAAAAGAATAAACAAACCAATATTATGTTAATTATGATATTGAGAATTAAATATTTAAAAAATGACGAAAGGCTAATTGTTTGCAAATAAAGATATGAAGCATAAACAATATCATAAACGTAAAAATGTTTGAATTGTACAACTTCATATTGTATTGATTGATAAATATGAGGAAACAAAAAATTTATGTCCATTATATTTATATATTTGAAGATGTCGAATATCGAAGAACTTTAGAATATAAATAATTTAAAAATAATTTGAGCGTTAACTCTTTTTTTTCTCATTTTTTTCTTCTTCTTCTTTTCTTCAAAAGTTTTTCAAGAATTTTAAAACAAAAGCTAAGTTTAAACGATTAATGATGAATGTGACGCTATGTTTGTCCATAAAAGTACAAAATCAAAATAAATTATCTTTTTATAGTTTTTGAATTAATGTTATATATAAAAAGCAAAACTTACAAACTGAGCAATATAATGCGAAGCAACTTCCGGCGAAATAACGTATTTATAAATATAAAAATCTATTTTCCACCGAACGAAAATTATACGTAAAATAGAAAAGAAAAATACAGTTTGAAATGTGTAGTAGACACACAAGTAATATACCCTTTGACTTTTATTCTCATCAAAATCTTTTCAGCTATAGGTTTGTCGAGTCCGCAAAAATATAGATTCGTTTTATTGCCGGCAGTAAAATTTATTGCTCATTGAAAAATCCAATTCATTTAGCATCTATATAAACGAGACCTTCTATTACGATGTGATCCGCGTAAATAATTGCCGTCACTGGCCGCCCTGCTGCTATGTATCTCATTCTGACTCAGAGGCACATTTTCGAACACAAGTTTATGTAGAGTTTGAAATGGAAAACGAACGGTGGTTCATAAACTCGAGGTTAAGTTCTAACGAAATCTGGAGCATTTTTAGACTGCTGGGATCTCACAGTCATTGTGGAATGTCTTGGAAAACCATCGATTTGGATATCTTTTCATTCTTTTTTTTTTTTTTTTTTTTTTTTTTTTTTTTTTTTTTTTGAAATGGTCATTGATAAATTGCGATCAGTTTTTACGAATATAATTTGGCCTGCCCAATTAAACAATATATTTGTCATAATAAGTGAAGTATAACTTCCGGGATCGAGTCATCTATTGATTAAAGCTTTCATAATCTATAAATATGTTGATTCTCATTATTATACATTTAACTTTTAAAAATAATACAGCTATTATTATATGTTGTAAAACATAAAGTTATAAAAATACAAATTTATCAATATTGATACGTCAAACATTTGAAATTTCTTCGTATTGCGACTGATTAATTATTCGTATTATATATTATTTATCCACACTTTAATTTACATTGGAACATGTTTTGTAAGCTTGAGAACAATTTGTCATTACTGGGATTAATATAATTGCATGCATATTAAACTTACTCAAAATTAATTTTTATCAATTTAAGAAAGTTGTAGAGTACGAGATTATGTTTTCAAATTTTTATTTCGACTAGGTTATATGCATTTATTACATATTTATTCATAGGATCAAATGAATTAAGCTTTCGCTAATATGACGGTTTTTCTATTCTATTCATAAGAATTTTGTCATTGTCATTGAATTTGACGTAGAAAAGTATTACATTAAAATATATGAAATATGTAATGTTTTTAAAAAAGCTGGGTTTATTTGTCACTTTAATTTCTTAAAATAAGGCGACTAAATTGAAAATTAGTTGCTCAAGAAAAACACCATTATGTTGAGCTGAATTCTTTATTTGTTATTATATTCAAAGATAAAAGTAACAGTATGAGTTATTGTTTTCTTCTTCATCTATTTTTCACGTGTTCTTCTATCGAAAGTAAAATAACAATCGAATGATAATTCTAAAAAAAAAAAAGAAAGAAAAACCGCCCGTGTTTAAGACGAAATGTACAATTACCACGTTTAAATAATATTTTTCTATATTTATTTCATGGAGCTTGTTCTTAAATTTATGGAATTCACATACTCCAACTCGATAAATACAATAAGAAAATACAAACGATTGCATTGATACTTTAAAATGCGCATATTGTTTACTGATCGATCAACAATGGGCTAGATGAGCGGATTTTCCAAACATGCTTAAAGACTATTTACAATTGAAACAAAAACGTAAATATAATGTTCGGTGTTGCAACACCGATGCTGATAGTATCTGAACGAACGGAAAGAACGCGACGTGTTTATGTTTGCGTGTAAATATATATATAGCTCACAGCTGGAAATTGTTCGCAGGAACGTATCAAGGACAATGGTTACGAGGTATGCGACACGGTTACGGAGTGCGGGCGAGCGCGCCTTTCGGTCTCGCATCGCATTACAAGTCCGGGAAGCAGGTTAGGGCGTCGTTGACGTCCCTGAGAAGTACCGAGGGTGCTCCAGGAACGGCACCGACGCCCGAGCCGACCGATAGGCGAGATCGCCGCGTCGACGATAGCAGAGGAGGCTTCGTGCTCAAAGCGAGGAGCGACGATCCGCCCGCCAGGCGGAAGAGTCTTACGGAAAAATCCCTGAAAAAGGGTATCCTCGCAGTAAGTATTCTCCACTCCAAAACTTCATCGAACGCCAATAACGTCGCGTCCGATATCGAAACACCACTTCCAAAGCTTGCCTTTTTTTTTCTTTTTTTTTTCTTCTTTTCTTATCCTTTTAACCCGAGTCGCAGAGACACTCCGAAACACCGAATCCACCTCCATCGTCCCACTCCAATAACATTAAATCCCACGCCAATTCATTCCACATTCAAGTGGGCTTTCATTGTCGTTGGCCATCAATTCCTTTCCACCAGACGCTGATTGACTGCAAGATGAAAACTTTGCGTTCCAGGGCTTGAAAATCCGCAAGCAAAGAAGCACGGGTGACCTTGAAAAGCGTGGCACGGCAGGCAGTATCCGGAGCAATGCGAGCACCGCGTCGTGGATGTCGACCGAGAGCTCGCAGAGCCAGGCTTCCGCCTCGATGCACACCGACAGTAACGCCTCCTTCGTTATCGAGGTTAGCCAACGTCCATCATAATCCACCCATCTGCCCTACTTGCATTCATAATGGTCATTTGGGTTTGCCCATCCAGCGGCCCTTCAGCCTCAGCCTGTCTCATTGGCCATCCGCGCTTTCCCATTATCTCCGGCTCGCATCGACATGCCTATCTATTTCACTCCTTATCTTACTTCAAAAGAGCAAATAAAGATAATTACTTTCTACGCCGCTTATTTTGTCCCTCGTATTTATTATTAAATCGAAATATTATCTTATCGCATCTTATCTTATCTTGCCGGGCATCGCGTGCTTCATTACGTTTCGTAAGAATTCTCGATTGCCGGGCGTGTAAAATGTGTTTTGAGTAGTTAGTTGGCGGTTGATATTATAATATTTGGATATATTGTTTTTGTTTTTGTTGTTTGTTGTTATTTTGTTCTTTTTTTTTGTGTTTTTTTTTTTTTTTTTTTTTTTTTGAAAATTACTATGGAAAATTGTAAATTGCATGTGAGCAAAGGGGGGCATATTGCAGTGTATGGGAAAATTCATAATGTTTGAGGATGAAGATTTGAAATAATAGTAGAAAAACCTTGTTCTCCAAAATGTCGATTTCCAATGTCGTTTTTATTCGAACGTGCAATGAAATTATATCGACTTAATGCGCATCCTCTTAATACTTAAGAATTACAGAATTACATTTAAATTTAAATTTAAGGCGCATACGCATCTTGTAAATAATTGATATCTATGGGAATTATTAAATGACTTTATCATGAAAAACATTTTTATTTATTATTCATTATTTAAACTGTGAATGAAAAGTCAATGTCAAACTTATAATTATAAATTATAAATCTGTGCTATTTTAGAACGTGCCTACTTTTTGGCAATTAAACCGTCGCTATTGCGTGTGCTAACTTTTTTCAAAAATGTAAATCTACTCGTTTGAAAGAATAAATATATATATATATATATATATATATATATATATATATATATATTCACCGAAGCACTTATTGCTTACATCTTGTTGCAAGAGATGACATTGGCAAATATCATCGACCGTATCGTTAAAACGAAAAAGCGATCCGGCTGATTGAGCCCCAGCTGGGTGATTCAATAATTTGGCAAATAATTAAAATGCTCTGTTCTGTTTCGATTGTAGGACGAGCAAATGGATGCCGCCGTAACCGAGACATACCTCGGCGAATGGAAAAATGACAAACGTACAGGTTTTGGAATCTCGGAACGCAGCGATGGTCTGCGCTACGAGGGCGAATGGTTCAATAATCGTAAATACGGTTATGGCGTTACGACTTTTCGCGATAATACTAAGGAAGAGGGCAAGTACAAAAATAACGTCCTTATAACCAGTCAGAAGAAAAAGCACCTATTTCTCATACGCTCAGCAAAATTCCGGGAGAGAATAGACGCAGCGGTGGCAGCTGCTCAACGGGCTAGTAAAATTGCTCTGCAAAAAGCCGACATAGCGATATCGCGAACAACGACAGCGAGAGGCAAAGCCGAGTTGGCTGATATAGCGGCTGAGCACGCGCGAGAGGATTCTGAATTGGCCCAGCAAACGGCCAGGCAGTTCGCTCCGGATTTCCGACAGCCGGGACTAGAGAGGTGCAAAATGCGATTAATAATCCCTATAATTAAGTCATCGAACAAGATTGTTGTCCTAATGACTCACGAGCAAACAATTACCTAATCTTTGTTAATAATTTGCCTTTTTCTCCATTATACTTTGATCAATTTTACTATTCCAGTGATATCAGTCTTTATATATATATACTTTTTTTTCTTTTTTTTTTTAAATTCGTTATATTTGCGTTGGAAAGTTTTTTTTTTCTTTTTTGGTGTTTTAAGATATGATAATGTAACGAATTTTTATTTATTATCATATTTCAAATTAGTTAAATTAATTCCTCTTATAATGTTTTAAACAACAACGTACAAGTCAGAGTATCCATGTATATATATATATATATATATATATATATATATATATATATCACGAAGCTACAATAATAATAAAAATACTAAATAGTATATGTATTTATATTACGATTATAGATAAAGTTAAAAATTTGATGAAAAAAGAATATATTCTAAAATTTAACGTAAATGCGTTTTTAAACATTAGTTTTTCGTACTTGTCATCAGGTTAAAAAATCGCGAAATTCCAAAGTATGTTCCTCCACCTCAAGATGCTGCGCCTGGCAAGAGTATCCTCCATAAAGGTTCAAGTTTTGATCAACAAAATATTACACCCATGAAACAACAGCCATACAATGTACAGCCAGAGAGGATAGATGAGTCGAGTACGGGTGGTCCGATGATGAATCAGACGATGCGACGAGCTAGTATGAAACCACTTCCACAAAATACAATAACATTGCCGCAAAATCAGATATTATTATCGCAGAATCAGCAATCTAATCAGTACTCGACACAGAGTCAACCACCAAATTTACAATCAACTCAGAACAATCAAAGCAGCTACTCTCCCCAGATGCCGCTTCTTCAAAATCAGTTCCCAAATACTACTGGATCGACTTCACCGATACATCAACAGCAACAGCAGCAGCAGCAATTCCAAATGAACCAATACGGCCAAACGCAGCAATTACCTTATAATAATGTGCAGGTCAATCAATATGGGCAATCGCAGTATTCGAGTTCACAAAACATTGACCAGTTTGGAAATTACGGACAAGGATTTCAAAATCAGTATCAAACATGCGGTTATGCGAATCAGCAGGTAATAATTCACAAAGTTGCGATTAAAATTTCTTGCATAGAATGTGTCTTCTAATTACTATTGTATGTCGTGAGAATAAAATTTTCAGGTCCCTTACTCTCATTACAATAACATTTGTTAATTAGTGAAGGCTTTTTATGTAAACCTTTTTCTTTTTAGATATTGTTACAACAATCACCTTTGGTTTCGTACAACCCAATGTCTTTAAGTGAAATGAGTCTTTATGGAGCCCAGTCAATTGGTGTAAGCCTCGTGTTACAGTTTGATTTTCAAATGTCGATAAAACAAACAAAAAACAAACAAACAAACAAACATAATTAATCTTTCCTCGATTACGGAGTTATTATTTCTCCGGAATTTATTTCCAATTACTGTTTGCCGATTCCCTTTTATCTCTCGTAGATACTCCTCCAATGGGTCGACTGTAGCCTTATGGAACGACGAACCTATGCGCTTATAATCACTTTCTAATTTAAAAAATAAAAAAAAAAACCTGTAATAAATTAGATTACTCTATCATGATCAAAAGCTTTGGATTTATGGCTTAAGATTAAGAGCATTTTTTAAGAAACTTTTTTCTATAAAACAAATTAACAAATTTTTCAATGCTTTTATTTTAGCAATCTGTGCAAAATCAGTATGGATATGCACCGGTAATGAATCAGATGAACCAGTATAGTTCAACAATTCAACAGCAATCCACGTATAATCAGAGGCAAGAACAACCACAACAACAATTTCAATCCGAGGAAAATCAGAGAGTTTTGAATGCAATGAGTATACGACGAAACAGTCGCGTCCTTAGCCCTCAAGACAGACCCGCCGCCGCAAGTATTGGACAGACACTCAATGATAGGTTAAATCATTATAATATATTATTATTATTATTATTATTATTATTATTATTATTATTGTTATTATTGTTATTGTTATTGTTATTGTTATTATTGTTATTATTATTATTTCACTTTTTGGTATCATAAAGTACATTAATTTTTATTAGGCTCGATCACTACAAGAGGCCTCCGAGTCGTGATAGTTCAGTCGATCGTTATAGAAGACATCCTCTTGTAAGTGGATCGAGACAAACTTCCATTGATAAAGTACCATCTTCACCAACACCAGATATTCCAGACAAGTAAGAATTTATCTAGAAATATATTTTGTTACCTAATATAATCCCTATATTTACTGCTTATCTAGGTTACATCTCAGCTATTTTAAAATATAGATTACCACTAATTAACGTCCAATTAAAACAATGCATTTACAATCGTCTCCATGGAATTTAAATTTTATAATTCTTATATAAATTTATTTATGTTTCGGATTCGTTTGTGATTTTCTGTGTGCGTATATCCGCGTCTGCATTTCTATATAAATTCTGTAATATAATATTAATAACATCCCATAATCAGCAATGACTTATTCGAAATTTAATATCCATCTTCACAAATTTCAGCTACAAATAAGCAATCAAAATTCAAACGAATAGCAACTAAATATGCATTCATTTTTTAATAATAATTGTAATTATAGAATAAACTCGTTTATCCATTAAAATAATCGGCCAATAGCCTGTAATTGTAATCGCAAAAAAAAAAATAAATAATTTACCCAAAATAACCGAATTGTATAGAATAAGCAATTTTATTTCACGAATAATATTTTATATCGTTTTAATTTATGATTTATCACAGCAGATCGATGAGAAGTCCAAGCGCCTTAAGGTCAGGTACGCCAGTGAACAATGGCTCTGCTGTGGGAAGCGGTACCGCGACACCGAGTTACGCAGCTTCAACCTCCAGCCAATTTGAGGACGTTCTTTTAAAGAATAAAAGCCTTGGACAAGAGATACTGCCAAGTCCTGGCCAGCCAAAGCGAACAGAAAGTTTGTACGTCACGCCCGGAAGAGCTACTGGAAGTGGTGGTGGCGGTGGTAGCGGCGGAGGCGGTGGGGGTGGCGGAGGCGGTGGAAGATTGAAGGTAAGCCTCCGATTATATTACTTCTACATAATATTCTTAATAAATTGTTTTATTATATTATATTAAATCTTCTGACGTCACATGTTACGCATACAGATTTCAGTTAAAGATTTTAATTTAATTATTTGGAAAATTACGTAAATCGAATAAAAGAGATTTTTCTTATGGCAGAGATTAAAGGAAATACTTTTTGAAATTAGAATGTAAATAATATTTAGCAAAGATTTCTTATGTAAGTTGTTAGTTTATAGATTACCGCAAGATAGTTAAATTATTTGCATTTAACCAATTAATTCCAATATTTCATAATAATTATTATTCAAATTTACTGCATGCTAGCTTGCATATATGTATATACAATTATTATTAATCCTTTTTCTTAAGGGACATTGACTAAAATATATTTTTCTTAATAAATTAAAAAATAATATTATAATAAAGTAGAAATAGTATATTTCAAATAAATATAGCATAGCATAACGCATTTGTTATCATTTACTTGCTTTATAAAATGAATGCATTAAAATAATTTAACTTAATTTTTCTTTTTTTTTTTTTTTTTTTTTTTTTTTTTTTTTTTTTTTTTTTATTTCATGTTATAAAAAAGTAGATACTTTATCTCGAATTGCTTTTAAATTCATTTATTAAAAGAGAAGCTCATATCGATCCGCAAGTAAAGGAATATTGGTAGAATGAAGTAGTTAAATAGTGCATTCGAGTAACAAAAATAATACCTTTTGATGCTGCAATAGCTTACTAATTACAACTTACTTACGTGTTTTTCTTCTATGTAGAATTTTCTCTTCTTAATTATACATTCTAAAAAATATAATTGATTATGGCCATTTTTTACCTATAACTTACTTATAACAATAACACAATCTACCATACGTATTTAACGTGATAGATTATTATCTCTAACTTACCATTTCCCAATACACGATTAGTCTGATCCTCAATCAACCATCCATAAGATAGATTCTCTTTTTGCCAATGTTTTTCTGATTGTCTGTAACTGTTTGGCGATTTGTGCTGTGTTCTGTGCATGCCGACACCCAGGACGCGAGAGGAACTGTCCCCGCCTTCACCGCATCAGCAAAGGGCCGCGCAACCCTCTAAGTATAAGTATCCTAAATCATTCCAATTTAATGAAAACACATAACAATCAGACATAAAGAATCAAGAAGAATAAAAAAACGAAAATTATTCGTTTGGAAACAGAGTATCATACTATTGGTTTTTGGATGTTCATTAATTTGCATTGCTTCGATTCCAGCAGCAATGAGTTGTCCATCGTAATAATATTTCTTTGCAATTTCTTCTAATCAGCATATTTTCTACAGGCTGACTGGATTTTATGTACATATAAAGATGTCTTGTTTTTTTTTTAATTTTTTTTTTTTACCTTTAACTATATACAGTGATCGCGATGTATTTGAGAATTGTCAAATCTATTGATTTGTGAAAATACACAAATTTAATTATGAACGGTAGTATTTTCATTAATACGTTACATTCTTGGACAATCTCATTGCTATTTCCATTAATTTTACATATTTTATAAAATTAGTTTTTAATAATAGTAATGGTAACAGCAAGGAAAATAGAAGAAAAGACGGCTAATATCCACTTCCGTACCATTAATTAAGAAGACTCGATTTATTCAATCTCTTAATGATGGATATAATACTTTGTCACAAAAAATATTTTCTAAGCTTAATTCAATTCCATATTCTAATAGTATGAAACTCTTTTTGATAGACTTTTAATTATAATTGAAGAAGTGATAAGGAAAATATTACAGAGAGATTGTGTATTTTTACAAAAAAAAAAAAAAAAAAAAAAAAAAAAAAAAGTGAGATATAGAATATATAAAGAAAGTAATAAAGGCCATGTCTACAAACGGATACGTCGTTGATTATAAATCTTTGATAATATGAAAATAAAATTAGAAATATTAGTGAAGATATTATTCTAAATTCTGAGCAGTATGATGTTTACAAAAAATCTAGATGTACCTGCTGATATTCGCCTCGTAAGATTTTGGATAGCGATATTGCTTTAATGAGAAACAATTGTTATAAGAAATTCTGACGATTATACATTTACAGAAATTTCTTTTACATATATTGAAAATAATCTTAATTTTACTATATAACCTCGATGAAAATATAAAGCAGAAGGATCTTCAGACATTGTTTCTGTGTTGAAGGTGAAAAAAATATTTTCAGTTTCAAAATACCGAGCGACTATTTCTCTTGGAACATCAAGATTGAGCGCAGATATTTTCATAAATTTGATGAATATAAATAAAATATTTTAATATTAACTATAAAGTAATGGATATGACCTATTGTAACACATACAGACGCGCGCGCGCGGTGCTTTGAAATATCGCTTAAAGAGCTTATTTTTGTATCGTAAGAACATTTAAAGGACATGTTCCGTAAGAACTTTGCATTGAAAAATCGTCGCTAGTTATTTCAAATTGCAGGGTCTGTCATATATTTATTCGACACAATTGTTCCAATTCACTATAATAATATGAATAAAAAGTTCGATATTTTAAATGAAAAAGTTCTCCTATTAGGCAAAATACTATAATATGAAGAACAATAATTGTTAATAATACCAAATGTTCCTGAATTACAGAGTAACTAATGGCCTCCACTTTATTTATGTTTTATCACTATTTCAAACTGGTATACATTTTATATACATCTTTAAATATATTTAAACATTATTTATATATTTACATAATAATAAATATATGAATTTATATACATGAACCATTATTTCTAAAGTCTCTATAATAACTCGTTCAATTTTAGTTAGTAAAATTCGTTGAAATTTATAAATTTAAATGTCTTTAATTATCGAGTATATTGATAAAAATATTTACTGATTGCTACTTGAATACGAATATTAATTTCATTTAAAAGTCGAAAATTTAATCAAGCAAATTGTTTCGGAATATTGAAAAAATAATTAAACGTTATAGAATACAATAGAATATGTATTATAATAGAGAACATAATATATTTCAAATAAGATAATACAAATTAAAATGTAGAAAATATAATTATAGTGCAACAAGTGTCCGATTAATATACGTCACTAATATATTAGACATTTTTTGCCATATTATAAGAATATTCCAATTTTCAATATAATATATATCGTACAAAAGAAAAGAAAACACATCCAAGAGGTTGCGTGAGGTGTGGAGGCGGGGACCAAGAGTTTACAAAATACTTTGTACAACAATCGTAAAATAAATGAGATTCAATATAATAAGTGGAATGAACTCCAATTTTCCTGAATCCAACCTAATCACACATATGCATAATGCATACCGCGCACGCACACAATATACATACTCGAATATTGTTAATACTGTGAAGAATATTTATATGCCTGAACAAGTATGAACAAATTATTCGCGATTCAAATAAGTAAATAACCCGCACACATATTTTTTTAATATTCTTCCACCTCCACACCTCCCCCCTCTGTTTGATAAAAATGTTACTTTTTTTAACGCATGCTTTTATCTATCTACTATAACTCTGTTGTATGCCGCAATCGATACACATATATACTATATAATATACTGTTGGAAATAGTAGATTAGCAACTATAGATAATTCTTGGATTATTCAAGAGAGAAAAAAATTTAGTGCATTAGAAAGTTTAATAGCATATAGTTTCTAAATAGCAACGTATTAGTCGCTTATTTTAAGTGTCATTTAATAGAATTCATATTAATATATATTAAAACTATGGTTAAAAATGAAAAAATTCAATTTTATGCTACAAAAGGAATGTATCAATATATATATATATTTTTTTTAATTTTTATTTATTTATTTTTTTTTTTTATATCAATTATACATACGTATGTGTATATATATATATATATATATATATATATATATGTACATATACATAAATTGTTGATTTTAGTCATACTAATTTGTTGAATTTTTAAAATATTTCTTATTAAAATATTCATAAGAATTATTATAAAAGAAACATAAGAAAGATGATGATGAAATTGTAATAAAATGATAAGAGTGGAAATAACAACGCTGAGACGTATACTAAATTATATATAAAATTTCGCCTTAATCCAATAGGTGTCCTTACCCTTATAATTAAAGAAATATTTCATAAACATTCTTAAACTTCGTCAAAATTCATGAATTCTTTAGAAAATAATAATAAGCAATTTTAATTTTGATATCTTAAAGATAAATATATTTATTAATGTGATACGGTTTTTTCCTATATTTTTATTGCTAGTTATATACAAAACAAAAAATCAACTGTAAAGAGATTTTATTAAATTAAGTGAAATTTTAGTTATATATTTATCACCCTAAGTACATACAGTAAATTATTCTTCTTTTTCAAGATTGTTAAATATAAAATTACATCGGACAAATGTGTGCATTATTTTCAAAATGCTTAATGTATTTTAAAATATTTTATTCCAACAAATATTTATTAGTATTTATTTCACAATATTTACTACGAAAAGAGTAATGAAGAATTCCGACGGGGAACGTTCAAGTGCCAAGCTTTTCAAAGTGTCTTTTCTCGTCAACACGAAACGTACTTCGGTATAATAGTTTGCTTTTTCAAAGCTGAAAAATCCTTGATCAATGCACCACTTCTTCCGCTTCATTTTTATTTTTGAAGGATATTTTTAGCATAAAAAGCAGTATTTAATAATATTATGAAAAAAATAAATAATTAAATAAACAAATTAAGGATATAGGATTGCAGTTTTTTTTTTCATAAAATTTAATACCTCGTGTGATGTTTCTTTATATTACAATTGATTTTTAATTACTCAAACATTATTAAATGATGGTAGTTTGTAAGTGAATGAAATAGAAATGAATTTATTGATAAAATTTATGATTACCTAAAATAAATTTTGCACTCAATTTTGTACGGTAATTATAAATCTTTTAAATTATATCACGAGAGAT